TTATGAATTTATTTCTATTTGAATCAGAAGGGCTTTTCTGTAGGCCTTCGTAACTGGCTTCCAATTTAAATTAATGCTTCTTTATTTTTTTCTTCCTTCTAGTTATTTTAATCTGTCACATAATGTTCCCTCCTTAAATACTCCATCAGAAGTGTTTCACTTTCAGCAGTGGTTTCTCCTTGGGAATGGGGTTGTCCTATCTATTAATATAAAATTATTTATTTAGGGTACAAAGTACCTGTAATTTCTGGTGTTTTACCAAAGCAACATTTAACCATAAAATGTTGCTTGAAAAGCTAAAGGAAGAGGAAAGATAGTACAGCTTGCGAATCTCACCCATCTTTCATTGTCTGTCATTTCAGTAGCCAAAGGCAAGAAGTATTTTATTTTATTTCATTTTATTTTTCCAAGTTCTTGGAAATGAGAACACACTGTATATTTCAGAAGTACTCATTTAGAAGACAGGCAAAGGCAAACAGACAAAAACAACCACCACCAAAGACAAAAAGATGAAATGGCTTGTTATGTTTTCAGTGGTGTTGCTGTGAGGGTCCCTGTGTTCTGTTTGCTTTTGGTGCAGCCTGGGGTCAGTGGGCACTCGGAGTAGAGAGAGCTACTGTAGGCCAAGTTTGCCAGTGCAGTTGAAACCAGAGTGAAAATGGGTTGAACAGATGAAAGAACAGAATCCCTTTGTGGCCCCGGCTATGCATGCACAGCCATCTGCTGCATGAAGGACCAGTCATCAGATCATTTGGATTTAGTAAGTCTCCACCTTGCATCTTATCTGCTATCTTAAAAGAGGGACCTATCTTAAGATTTACAGTAATTAGTAGCTTAATTAGTGGTTGTTTTTTTCTGCTCTTGCAAGTTGTTAAGTTTAGATGTTTTAAAATTACATCATTTTTTGCAGCACTAAATTAAAATATTTTATTATCTTACTATGGTGCTGCTCTAAACACTATTAATCATTCTTATATTACTTAGTGATATATTTATTCTAAATCAAAATTGTTGAAGAAGTGCTGACAGCAAATGCCAGCATCTTTACATTACATAAATGCCTGTATGTGTGACATATCCATCCTACCAATATACTTCTCTACTTCAGAGCATAAGATGGCCAGTAAATGAAGATGAATTTGAAACTTCAGATAGAGCTGAGTTGACTCATAACACTATAGAATGCATTTCCCTTTCCTCTTTAATACATGTATGTGGTACAAATTAAAAGCAGGATACAGGGAGAGATGGATCATCATGATGATCAGAGGACTGGAGACCTCTCCTGTGAAGAAAGGCTGGGAGAGCTGGGGATGTTCAGCCTGGAGAAGAGAAGGCTCTGGGGAGACCTCTTTGCAGCCTTTCAATACTTAAAAAGGGTCTTATAAAAAACAAAACAAACAAAAAAAAACATAGAGGACTCTTTACCGGGGTAGATAATGATAAGACAAGGGGGAACGGTTTTAAATTAAAAAGGGGTTATTTGGATTAGATATTAGAAGGAAATTTTTCACTCAGAGGGTGGTGAGGCCCTGGCACAGGCTGCCCAGAGGAGCTGTGGATGCCCCATCCCTGGAGGTGTTCAAGGCCAGTTTGTATGAGTCCCTGAGCACCAGTGGGTGGCATCCCTGCCCATGGCAGGGGTGTTGGAGTTAGATGCTCTTTAAGGTCCCTTCCAACCCGAGCCATTCCGTGATAGGAGGCGATCCTTACCATTTCTGTATAGGACCTTTATTTTCCTGCTGGCATCTTCGTATTAGTAGGAATACTTTCAGCAATTAAAAGTAAATATTTTTTTTTTGGAAATCAGACTCAGTCAGGAATTTGGTGAAAACTCTTAACATTTTGGATGATCTCAAGTTCTGTTACTGCAGAATACTCCATAGGTTTACTGACTTGTGTATGTTTTAGGAGCTTGGGGAGTGCAGGGAGTGTTTAGAACATAGCAATTTGAAATAAAACTTTTAAAATAAAAAGTCAGAGCAAGTACCAGTACAATAGTATTTTTATGATATTCTGGTAGCTGTACTTTTTATGGGCAGGTGTATTTTTTATTTTCTAATATGTTCACTCAGATCAAAACACTAATGCAACGTAAGAGCAGTTTGTTATAACAAGATCCAAAAAAGTCATATACATCATATGATGGAGAAGCTGAATTTGCCGTAGTTCTAAAAATGGATTATAATACTTCACGGTCCGTGCATTCAGTCTTTCCAAGGTTTAGAAAATCCTCAGACTGATCATAAATAGGAAGCTTTCTCAGATGAGCCCTTCAATTTCTGCATGATAACTTAAGGCAAGTTACCTTCAGGCATCTGCAGTTTCAAAAGTAAGTCTTCAAATCTTGAAACGAGTTTAGTCAGAGAGCTCCACAATTTCATCAATGCGTTATACTTTAACAACTTTCTGTAGAATGAACGTTAACATTATTTTTTTTTTATTGAGTCCTTTTGATTTTCAGAGCATATTTAGGAAACTGAGCAACAAAAATAAACTTTCTGCTGATGCATTTGGGAAAAAAATAGGGGCTTTTTATTTTGTTTTGTTTTTCTCCTAATTTACAACAGAACAAGTTCAGGTTGCACCATAATTGTTACACTGTGTTTTGGGGAAGTTACTCTGAAAATCCTTATTCTCTGACACAACTTGAGAATCACTAGCTGAATGCTTCTCTGCCCTTGCCCCAAATACCTGACTTAACCTAACTCACTCGTTGATCCTGACCCTCTGAGTAGTAGGCAAGATTGGGAATGGGAAAGGAATGTATCTGGAGCGATGCAAGATAGCTCCCGAGATGGCTAAGAAAATGATGTATATAAAAGTGATTAGCAATCTCCTATAATGTATGTGCACTTAATAGGCACGCATTACTCCTTGTGGATTGAAATTATTAGCACCAAATCAGTTGACATTATACCACACGAAATCTGATGGCAGTATTAACAGGAGCATTACCACCTTTTACAGACTTGCTGTATCTGGGCTGGTTTTGCAGCCAAGCAGTTAGCAGATTTGAGGAGTGTAGGGCTGTGGGTATTGGGAAGGTCTCCTTGGCTGTTCTGATTTGATGTCTGCCCAATGTCATGGCCTCACTTTTCAGCACTAGAAATGAAACAAACAAACTTCTCATTTGTAGCAAATTCAATAAAGCATCGTTGGTTCTGGCTATAATCTTCTAGTGGCTTCAGGTAGTGCAATTTGAGAGTGATGCTATCAGCTAAGTTACAGGTTACTTGAGAGAAGTGCTACCAGTTATCAGTTAGTTATCAGGTAATATCAGATTCTGGTGTTTATTTGTGGTAAAAGTATTGCTGTCACCATTTCAAGGACACACAAGTGAAATCCTTCTGTCAGGAGTACAATGGGGCACTATTTAAAACTGGGACGCTCGGCAAGCACAGAGCTCTTTCTTAGATCAGGAGGCACATTAGGTAAGGAAAGCTTGCAAAGTCATGCAGTATTTCAGTCCTTAAAAACTGAATATTTTGGAGTTAGTGCTGTGTGCCAACAAGAACTGACTCCGTTTAGGTGTCATTTTTTCAGTCTCATTTACTTTCCAAATTATAAATTGCTTTGTCTGTGCGGAAACTGAACTACCAGCCCTCATCAAATCACTGAGACTGTTAAACAATAAGGGAGTATCCGGTTTCATTTTTTTATAAATAAATAAATAACCATTAATATTGTAGATTTATGCAACGAGGACACAAAAATAGGTGTGGTTGGAAGGTCATAACACTGTTCTAAAGACAGAAGGCTGTAGGTATGAATTTATTTCCTTTGCTACATAAGCATGAATACTTAGTATTCCTTATAGCAGCCTTCCAGTACCCAAAACGGGGCTCACCAGAAAGCTGGGGAGGGGCTCTTTGTCAGGGAGTATAGGATAAGATGAGGGCTTTAAACTAAATGAGGGTAGGTTTAGGTTAGGTATAAGGAAGATGTTCTTTCCTCTTAGGGTGGTGAGGCCCTGGCACAGGCTGTCCAGAGCAGCTGTGGATGCCCCATCCCTGGAGGTGCTCAAGGCCAGGCTGGATGGGGCTTTGGGCAGCCTGGGCTGGTGGGAGGTGTCCCTGCCCATGGCAGGGGGCTGGAGCTGGGTGGGCTTTAAGGTCCCTTCCAACCCAAACCATTCTATGGTTCAGTGAATAACCATACCATTTACTAGTGCTAGTGGTTGCAACATGACTTGTGAAACTTTTTTTCACAGAAGTCATTTTTGTATCAGTGAGTGTTACTGAAGTAATCTTTTCCAAAACAATTTTCTGTCTGCAAAAAGGAAAGCTTCAGGTAGGGCATTAGCTGTGTGGGCCCTACAAAGTCCCATTGTAGATTTTCTTCCTCATCTGATATTTGTGTAGCTGATAGAGAATTGTATTTTTAATTGCAATAATGTTCTCAATGTTCACATAAGTCATCCTTTGTGTGACACATTAAATAGCCTGCACTAGGGATATTTTTAAAATCTCTTGGCATTAAAAAGCAAGAATAGTTAAATGTTTATTTTTAATGATGCAATATAGTATGTTGTCATCTTATGCTAGGTACATGATATTCTGTTCAGTGCATTAAGTCCTGATCCTGCTGATATTTACCAATGTACATATTTTATGCACATAAATAATTTTGTGGCATGTGATTTCTCTGCTTAAATGGGTAAAGCTGAGCTGTGATCAGGGTTTTCAAACCTAAATCCTGTGCTGTCAGTGACTTCAAATGCATTCCTTTCAGAAGAGTGATCCCTGCTTGCCAGCCACTTTCTCCCCAGATATCCAAATTGAGCTTTCATTTCTCTTTAGAGTACTTCACTGTGTAACATATGTGGAAAAATAAGTCTACATTTCATATAGTAACTCCCATTCCATGTTTCAGGACCCAATTACATTTGATCAGACACAGGGAATTATTATTAAAAACCATACCCAGCATACAGGAAGGGTTTTTCATGCTGTACCTAAATCTCTCTCTATATATGTGTTTTTTTTTTTTCTTTTTAGCCAACCAATGGAATCTTCATGAGCGCATTTCTCATTGTTTTGCCTCTGGAATCCATGGCTCATGGGCTTTTTCATGAATTGGGAAACTGCCTGGGAGGAACGTGTGTTGGGTATGCTGTTGTGATTCCCACCAACTTTTGCAGGTATAGTTACTGTGCACTTCAACCTCACCGTAGTGTAAGTGAGCTGTTAGCCAATAGAGGCAATCCAGTGCTGCTGCTTGTAGTTTTTCAATAAGAAAATACTCCTTTAATTAATAGACAAATTTTGTACTTTCATTTCTTTCACCTTTCAAAAAGAATGAGTAACTAATTCCACTGGGTATCTTGAAGAACCAAATCTCTTACTGTCATGACTAACGAATATCTATGAAGACTTATATATATAACATATATAAAAGCATGCATTTTGTAATCCTGAATCTCGTTGATTATGTATTGATGTTGAGGTATATATGCACACATACCTGCATATACCTGGTTTGTTCCAGGCCCAGTTCATCATTTTCTAAGCACTGAATGCCATTATCTGAAACTTGCTTCTGATGCTGAAAGATCAGCATCTGAACAACACACACAAGTAAGAATTATTCTATCTGTGTAAGTGAGTTCCATATTGAATAAAAGCTACTTTGGAGCAGAGATATATGAATTCAAAATATCTGAAGAAAATGAGTACTTGAATTTTTCAAAGTCTATTGTTGGAACTCATTTGCAAGAGTTTTTTTGTGGAGATATGCATTCATTCTCCTGCACTTGGTTCCAATTGTGTGTGAACAAGTGCCTGTCTGAAGGCAGTGTACTCGCAGTAAGACTCCATGAAATAGTTGAAGCCCAGCATGTTCACATCACTGCTCGTCTTCGTTCAGCAAGTTCAGAGTGCAAGCAGAGCAAGTGTTCAGTCCAAAGATGCTCTCTCTCTCTCCCTGCCACTTACCTGTATGGGGTTGAGTAAAGACTACATTCTGAAATGGAACAAGTGTGGTGGGAGGAGGAGATAGTGGCTCCTCATTCAACTGCAGTATTTGGCATTGTTTGTAAGCTGCACATTTCAAGTCAATTTGAGTATACAACATTGCTACTTCATAGAGGAGAAAATATGCCACGGGAGGGGGGGGAAATGCCAATTGCTAGAAGTCCACTAAACATGAAACTGTTGTTGATCATAACTGGTTTTCTTCTCTTTAGTCCTGATGGCCAGCCAACTCTTCTTCCACCTGATCATGTGCAAGAGTTAAACCTGAGGTCTACAGGCATGCTTAATGCCATCCAAAGATTTTTTGCGTATCACATGATTGAGACATACGGCTGTGACTACTCTACAAGTGGGCTGTCCTTTGATACCCTTCACTCCAAGATCAAGTCTTTTCTTGAACTTCGGACTGCAGATGGACCCAGACATGATACCTACATTTTGTATTACAGTGGTCACTCACATGGCACTGGTGAATGGGCACTAGCAGGTAACTGTTTCGTGATTTTTTTTAGTAGTAGCTTTGGCATTGATAAACATTCCAAATTATTGAATTCTTTCTTGTAAAAAGAAAGAAAAAGTATTGCTAAACTTCTGGTTTGGTCACACTTTCTATCTGATAGTTTGGAATGACAAACACCAGTGTTTGGAGTACAAGTTCATATGAGCTCCTGGCAGGGAAGGAGGAAAGGAATGTGTAATATACAGAGCATGACTGTTGAGAAATTCAGGGGCTATGAGGAATCATCAAAATAGGTAATGTTGCAGGCTGACTACTTCTACTACTGGAAAGAATGCAGTAATGCATTAATGCAGAAGCCCCTGTTCCATGCAGTTAACTCGATCTAAAGAAGCAGCCCTTTCCTTACCTTTCTCTGTATGACAGTCAGGTGTGTTACTGTGTGAACCTCTGTATCATTTTTTAGTATTTAATCACTTTGATAAAAATCCTTTTGAAACTAGCTGTTCTTATAGTTGTTCACAAAATTCTCTGATTATTGTTGACCCCAAATGTATGCTTACAAGTTTAAACATGATTTCTTATTCCACTTACAGCTCAAAAAGTTGCCTTTGAAGATCATTTTTCTATTCCGGAAAAGTAATATGGAAATGACCCCCTCTTTCTCTAAATACAGATTTTCCCTGTATTTTGAGGGATATTTGTTCACTGTATTGAACAAGAGTAATCTCATTCCCTGGATGTGGTAGAACAAGCACACTTCCTTATGAGTGAATTATACAATGTTCTGTATTGCTGTGACAGCTAGTCTGTCATGAAGGACTGCCTGTACGTCCTTAAGATGTACTCTGTATTTTATAAAAGATAGAATTAATCAAAATGTTAGGAAGCAGGTGTAAATCTCGTGCTAGAAAAGCAGGACTTCTAACATACAGCAAACTTGTATCATGGTAGGAACTATGGTTTGCTGACATCCTAGAGTTTGGGAGTCATTGTGGGTGCAATGTAGCCTCAAGACGACAAATGCATATATAGAGGGTTGATTCAATGCATAAAAATATGTTTGGTATAGACTTCACCCTTTTTCCCTTTTCTGGCCCATTTTTGATCTCTTTGTAATAATGCAGTTCTACCCCAACTGTGTAAAAATTGTTCTTTGGTAAACCTGTGAAGCTTTCACATACTGATGGGCTTAGCCTTGCTGTCTTGCTGTACAGAACGGGGCTTCTGATGCTTCTGTGTGCAAAAAGTGAATCTTCTAGTAATAACTTTGAAAATTTGCAACTTGTTTTCTTCCTGGGACAGAATTCACTTTCACAGATAGCACTCAGCCTGTGAGCTGCTGTCTGCTTGTCAGCAATCTCTCTTCAGGAGCATGTGCTCTGGAGCAGTGTAGACAGATTGGAGCTTTGCATGCAGTTGTGCTGAGCTGTTTGGCCACAGGTCAGTCTTCATCTGGAGGCCCAACACCTGTTTTGGTGCAATTCCAGACCTGAAGTACTACACCTGCTGAAGAGCAATGCATATTTTTTTCTCAAAGCCTTCATCTGTATCAGCGGATTAAAAAAGCCACAGCAGTTCTCAGTTAGCAGGAGTGATGTAATGCAGTGTGTGCCAATATTGCTGAATTACTTCTCTGAGAGTAGGGTGGTCTTGTTCCTGAGAGCAGCTGTGCACAATTGCCAGGCATGTCCACACGAGGTGTGGAGCCTGCTACCTGCAAGACTGCCTCCTGCCAGGGCTCCAGCCGGCTGCATACACTGCTAGGTTATGTACAGATGAAAGCTGATGCAGAAATTCAACAGCTTCCAGATCACGGCTTACATCTGGCCAGCTTGGAGTGTGGCAGAGGAGCTGAGATCTCTGTGTACCTGTTCAGAGAGCTATAGTCTGTATTATGCTCTGTCTTTACTTTTCAGGTAATGGTGAAGGTACCAGTTGCAATAAAAAGAGTTACTGTGATAACAATATAGTGTATAAATGTGGTGGTTTTCAGCTTTCACAGCAGTTCTTTCTCAGTTCTCTATCCAAGCACATCTTCAGCTTCTACTCTGAAATAATCTATAGTCACAGACAGGAAAGGAACAAGCACTTGGTGCTTGTCTTGAATCCTTTTTTGTGCTCAGTTTCATTGTGAGAGTTGGATGTGTTATGGAGCATAACTTGATAATCCTGCCAGATAGCACAGCTCCTGAACATAACCTGAAGTACAAACTGAGAAGACTAAGGATATTTGATTGTATGAAGTTCTGTGTGTTGGGCAGTGGTGTTTTGTGGCAGATGGAACATCTGGTCGTTATCTCCTGCAATGTGTGCCGTCCTCTGGCCTCTGGAGAGGGTTAAGAGGGATGGCAACCAGGAAACACAACATTTGGATCTAACAGAAAGGAGCATCTCACTGCTGGCTTATGCACTGCTACAGCACAGCAGTAGCAAGTAGTCTTTCCTTTATAATGACATCCTTTTAAAGGAGGCTTACTGGATTCTTTAGTTCACTAATGATGTTTCTCTGTTGTTGGAAGGTGGGATGTAACACAGCGGTGTACAAAAGAAAACTGTTAACTAGTCATGCATAAAGCATGAGCAGTCAGACGACCTGGGAGGTCATGTTATTCTCAGCTAATGCAAAGGCAAGAGCTGGGCTGCTGAAGTGTTGTCTCTGTTGCTGAATTGTCAGCTTAACTGCCTGTGAAGCCTGCCTAAGAGCCAGATGTGGCCAGACACATGGATTTCTTCCTCAGCTTGGTGCCTGAATCTTTTGCCAGCTGATCAATGCATGTGTTTGATGTCGGTAGGGTTAGAAAGGAGGGTGTGTTTGTGTGCATATGAAGGCTGAGTTGGTTTTCTTTGGACAGTTTACCCTTGCATAGTTACACCAAAATAAAGTTTACTTACAAGCCTTTCAAATGTTAACAAATCCATTTTACTGATAATTGACACAGAAGGCTTACCTAGGAAAAAAAAAGGAAACTGGCTTCTATACAAACCTCTATTGTAAATATTGTAAGTACAGCAATCTGGGGATCGTGTACCAAGACTGTCATTAATGTACGTTTGTATATTATGATTTTCTTTGATGCTATTTTTGCAGGTTTGCATTTGTTTTGGAGAAAGTTGTAGCCCTGTAATTTTGCTTTTACTATAACTGCAATATCGTGCTCAAAGCCTTAACTCCAAGCTATTAATTTGAAGCACTTTTTTTGTCACCCCTTATAGACAGAAATGTGAGTGCTGAAATACGCAGCTACTCTGTTTGAGATTTATCTGTGCAGTTCAATTGCTAGTAACAAGATTTTAAACACTGCTAAATGTACTTATGCTACACAATGAAAATCACTATGGAGTTGAAATGCAGTTATTTTAAATAATGTTTTTCTACCTCTTCTGAAAGTCATCTTTTTTTTTTTTTTTTTTTAAAGCTGACATTTTCAAACTAGTGTTTTTGCTGTAAATCTGTATCATAGCTCCAACTTGCTAAAACGCAGACATAATTTCCTCACATTAATAGTCACTGTGGAGCCAGGGGAGTTTTATTCACTTGTTTGCAAGATATTTTCCTTGGGCACTTGAGTCTGCTTTTCAAAGCTACGTAGATTCTGAAGTATCCGCTACACTAGGCAGAAGGAATCCCCACTATAGGTAACTTTGCTTAATAAAAACGTGCTCTTTCACAGCATAGCTGGAGCATGAGCTGAGATGGAGCATGAGAAATTGGACACTCAAATTGCAAGTGTCATAGTTAAAATTCTATCGAGTTTTCAGTTTCTTCATGTTAATGTTAAATACATTTCCTTGTTGCAGGTGGTGATGCTTTACGGCTTGACACACTTTTGGAGTGGTGGAGAGAAAAGAACGGCAGTTTCTGTTCCCGACTCATCATTGTGCTAGACTGTGAGAACTCTCAGCCTTGGGTTAAAGAAGTAAGGAAAGTAAACGACCAGTACATTGCAGTGCAAGGAGCAGAACTGGCCAAGGTTGTAGACGTTGAGGAAGCAGACCCTCCACAGCTTGGCGACTTCACCAGGCAATGGGTTGAGTACAACTGTAACCCTGACAGCAACATCAGCTGGTCAGAAAAGGGTCGTACAGTGAAAGCCCTGTATGGCGTGTCAAAACACTGGAGTGACTACACTTTGCATTTGCCAACGGGAAGCGATATTGCCAAACACTGGATGATTTATTTCCCACGTATTACCTATCCATTAGTGCATTTGGCAAACTGGTTTTGTGGTCTCAATATGTTCTGGGTCTGTAAAGCATGTTTCAGGTGCTTGAAAAGATTGAAAATGAGTTGGTTTCTTCCCGCAGTGCTGGACACGGGACAGGGTTTCAAACTCGTCAAATCCTAATTAGGAACCAAAGAGGAAACGAAGTGAGAGCTCTGGGAACTTTCTCACTTTAAAGTATTTGCAACTTTTTGTATGACTATTTTCTCTGAATAAATCTGCTACACTCACTTTGTTAAGCTCTTTAAACAGCTAAAGTATATGCAACAGTTAGAAAACTGCAGTCTTAAACAGAAGAGGCTAGGACTATAATAATTGCGTTTTGTTACTGAACTGTATGTACATATGTAAGAAATTTAATATGACCATGCATTTTGGAGGCAGTTTGCGTGTTCATATGTGTTACTTTAAGCAGCCTTTTTTCAGAACCACCAGTGTGACAGACAGGAGCTCCTATGAATATGAGAGCATGCTTACTTGTCATTTATATCCTGTGTAAGGTTCAAATACGGGAAGGGAAACAAGCTAATCTTGAAATCAATATTTATATTCCTGAATTTGTTTGGTGGGATCAAGGCTATTATGAAATAGCACTGAGCCAAAAATTAAAAGAGAAGAATGGTCACTGTAGATAAGTAGCTACCAAGAATCTTGTTTTATTTGCTTTTGCATCTTCAGCTCTTGCATCATTCTCTACTGCCATCAGTGGAAATTTGCTACAGAAAACAAGGAAATCAGACAATCTTGTAACGTTCTGATGGAGTTAAAAGTGCACTGAGAGGTTTTTTCCTCACTTGTCAGGGTGGTTCTGTCTTTTTCAGGCTCTTACCTGTTTGTATTTTTGAAAAGCTACTCTGAAGTAAAAAAAAAAAAAAAAACAACAAAAAACAAACAAACAAACAAACAAACAAGGAATTTAAGTAAGAAACTAGTCTATAGATAAAAAATAAGAAATACAAATGCTGCCTTGCTTCCACATCTGAAGTCTTTGCTGTGCCTAAGACCTCAGTCCTGTAAAATGTTGAGTCTGGGATTAGACAAATGGGTTCACGCCCAAAAGTATTAAATCTGTGAGCAAGCAGTTTGTCAGGAAAATTATTCCCATAAGCCAGCACTGTAGTACGCTTTGTGGTGTTGCACATGTGTGTACAATCCAAACATTTGAAAATCAAGAAATTAGTCCTTTTTATTTTGAAAAAGTTTGGAACATCAACCATAACACTTCTTGTTAACTACAACGGGTACATCTTGCTCTCTTTCTTCTGCTGTTACATCTTTATGAACATTGTCTGTATCTTTCTACAACAAGAGGAACTGAAAAGCGTGGGATTTCTGCCCTGTGCTGGGAACTGTAAGTAGACTAAAGTGAAAATCTGCTCTGCAGTGTCGTGACACACAGTTTTGTACAGAACAAACACAACATTTGGTGCTGATCTTTTGCCTCAGTTTATTAAATGGTTTCCAGCATATTTATTAAACTGTTAGGTTTTTCTGTAGGATGGACTGTGTGATCTTTAGCAGTTTGTTAGAAATTAAACGAAGAGTCAGCTCTTCAATCTGCAAAAAGATTATTTGCAAAACCAATCATGTGTTTTTAGATTTGTTTCAGTTTTCACAATTAACTCTAGTTTTCTGAATTTGTAATAATATTAACATTAACTAAGGTTATTCCTACTTTTGATTTTATTTTTTAAAGCAAAGGCATGGTGAAAATACCTTTTTAATCTGAAATATATGTTTACAGCCATTGAAAACTGTGAGGCCTTTTTGGACAAAGAGACTGTATTTTGTCTTTCAAAATCCAGGGTATAGGATGATGAGCCTCAGGAATTCAGCAGTATTAATTCACCACTTCTATACTAGTTAATATCAAGACATCCTACCACTGCCCATGTTCCCAGGCAAGGACCAGGTGAAGGCAGAGCTCTCCTCTGGTGCCTGGTACTCAAGGAATTCCATGGGTCTCTGCCTAGCCCCAGCCCAGCCCCATGTGCACTCTGTGAGAGACAACACACCAGAAGCTCCTCATGGCAGCGAGGGATTATCCCTCTGCTGTGCTAAGTATTAAATACGGGGGCAAAGCCTGAAAGAGAAATTTAGACCTAATTCCAAAGAATGTTACAAATATTATCATTGACATGCAAGTTATTTTTATCTACTGGTGACACGCTCAAGAATTTATTATATGGATTTATATATATGGATTAAGAAGGGTAGCTTGAGGTCTAAACTTTTTTTTTCCAAGATGCTTGTTTGTACTGTACATTCAGAAATTTTGTTATAAAGGTTGCTATAAATTTATATCAATTTTATGTTGACTTTTTTTTCATTTACTTCCCATACATTATCAACCTTGCTGCAAATGCACAAAGTCCTACAAACTTTAGTCTTTGTTTTTCTCTGAACAAGTATGGGAATAAAAGCCATCTTCTTAATTTTTGCACTACGAGAGTTAAGTATTTGCTGTTCATTATGCTTTGCATGCCTTGTGATTGTTGTTGTCTAGCCTTCAGTTTTTCCTAGAAATTTCATCAGTTTTATTAAGCGTTCCCTTTATTTTGCAAAGACATAATTAATGTTGTGCTAGCTGTAAGCATCTATGGTGCCAGCAGTGGACAAGGTAACTGGTTAAATTTCTTGTGTATAAATACCTTTCTTTGGGAAGATTTTTATTGGAGATACTGTTTTTAAATCTGTAAATAGATTTTTTTGTGTATTTGTGATATTGCTTAAATATATTTTGCTGGTTTGGATGCTCATTTCCATTTCATGTTTTTATTTGTCACTTCCAAAACTTCTGTGCTCCATCTTGAATTAAGTCTGTTCTTTTTTGTGTACATCTTGTTTCAGGGTTGTTTTTTTAGATAGAAGGTACAATGGGGCTTTCTGAAAACACTAAGGATTATTTGTAGCTTAACAATTCGATAGAAATGATAAATATTAACTTAAATTATTAACATACCCTTTACCTTCTCATTTTTTATAATTTAGTCAACAAGCTAGTAAAAGTGTTCCTTGTGCTTTGAGGTATTACTTTTTAGAATCTTAACTGAAGATTTCATTGATGTATTTGTATTTATTCAAACTTGCCATCTCCGGTAAGATCAGACTCTAAAGTTAATGGAGGGTTCCTGTTGAATTAGATCAAGCCTGGGAAAACAAAGCAGAAGGAAACTGTGATGGTGTGCAGTGTTGAAGAGGTCAAATCTTAAATTACTGCTAGGGATGTTCTTGCACTCCCTCCTCACAAAACACTCCTACTGTCACTCATAACAAGCTGGGGCTGGGCCGTGACCCTCTCAGTGAAGACTACGGGGGGAAATGCCAGAGAAGCAGAGCTGCTAGTGTGAGGTGCAGGTGATGGGCACAGCAGTGCCCAGCTGGTATGCAGAACTGTGGAGGCAGTCACCGCACCATTAGCAGTGTTAAGACACCAAAAAAAAAAAATAAATCAAATTTGACTCAAAGATTTTTATGAACTTAAAAATGTTCAAATCATGTTTCTCCTTTGGTGCTGTTACATATTTTTGTTGGAAAATAAAGTAACCTAGAACACCTAGTAAATAGATTTTATTTATGCCATTACTGTGGCATAAGAATTTAATTTTAAAAAGCTCTTTAAATTCAGCTCTCTTGAACACTGACCTGTTTTCAGAAAGCCTTCTGTTGTTGAAATCCTGCAATTGTTGGTTAGGAAGAAAGATAAAACAGACTCATCGATAATACAGTATTTAGTTGCACTTGACTAGTATGTAGGATGAAAAATGCTAATATTAAGAAAAGCCCACAACATTTTGTAGCAAATAAATTAGCAAGTAAAAATCAAGCACATTGATTTGGAACAAATACAAAGGCTCTGATCCCTGTTCCTACTGATCCAGTGCTGTCCACAGCTGGGCTTCATCAGCTCTTGAATACATTGTGCACCAGTCACTACAAAGTGAAATACAAACATGCTCTCATAAGCCAGGAGATTAAAAGGCTGGATCCAAAAAAAAAAAACTAAAAACAAACGCCTTCAGTGTTAAAGAGCTCACCTTTGGAGATTCAGGTCCAAACTGGGTGCAATGTCCGCACACAACCAGATGCACACGTCAGGCACTTGTGAAGGGTCAGTCACCCTGCAAGGTGACAAACTGCTTAGGTTACCAAGTAGGAAGCTGCTCCAAATCCGTGCATGCAGCTGCCTCCAACCAATGATATGGCAATTTAAAATTTCAGTCCTCATTAACACTGTTTTCTCTGTAGTAATAGTATCACCATCTCAGGGTACATTGAAATATTTTGGGGTCCTACCTCAGTTACTGCTTTGAACTGAGCTAGGGACTGCCAGCACTGACTTGCCCATGCTGAAGCTGACAGAGAAACATATCAAGCTCTGTTTAAGATAGACAGTTCTATAATTAATGTCTGCTGGTAAAACAAAGCAACCTGAACCTGACTTTGCCATCCCTCAAACACGAGGCCAGGATACTGGAGAACAGTCTGTATCAGACCATAAAACAGACAACTCACTTCTTTTGCAAATCAAAGAGAACAGCCTGATTTGGAGATTGGCAAGAGCCAGAAGAGAAGTAGAAAGTTTTTGCAAAAAAAATAAAATAATGTTTGCTTTATAAATTGTGCATAAGGTCCCTAGATACCATGGTACTGAGTGTATTATAAATGCATGAGATCCATTAAGAGAGATGGGGGGGTTTGGGGGGGAACCTGACGGATCAGGTTTATATAGCTGAAAGCCCTAAAGATTTATTCTGCCTTGCAAAAGAGTATGAAGATTTTATCCTTAGAGAAAGGCTACTTATTTTCCAGAAAGGAAATGGCAGAAGAAAAAAGGAAAACCTGGAGGAAAAGAAATACTAACAGTTGGGCCTGATCCAGAGCTGTGGCTAGAACAGACTTCGTAGACCTACAGCTACAGAGAGGCTTCAGGTCTGGTCAGTTTTGGCCCAGCCTTACACACCAACAGGATAGGTGGTCACATTTCATTTCTGGGTCCGGACACTGTTTATTTACTGCTATAGAGAAGGTTTCTATTAAAAAAAAAAGATAAGTTTTATTTTTAAATACAGTGCCTGAAACCAGTAATTGCTATACAGCAACAGCTGGCCTAGCTAGTGGGGTTTGTGTAGTACAAGGGCAACAGTGGCTGACCCATACCCTCAGGCACAGTAGTGTTTGTGCACAAAATGCCAGCTGTAGCACCAAGGAACCTTCCCATTTCCTGCCATCACTGGCAAGGAAGGTGGCTCAGTCTATTTAAGCCGGGTCTCTGACTCATTTTTACTCTCAGGCTCCATGTGCTTCTCTAGATAAGGAATCAGAATCATTAAGAGAAAAGACCTCTGAGAAAATCTGGTCAAACATCCCCCTACCACCAATGTCATCCACTAAACCCTTTAGTGGACACCACGTCCAACCTTTCCTTGAACACCCCCAGGGACAGTGACACCACCACCTCCCTGGGCAACCCGTCCCAGTGCCTGACTGCTCTTTCTGAGAAGAAATGTCTCCTCATTTCCAACCTGAACCTCTCCTGAATGGTGCGTCCTTCCCTGCTGAGTTCAAGCCAGGTCTCTAATACCTAACATTCCTCAGAGAAACAGATTCTCTAAAGGCCTAGCACATTCTGACAAGAGGTTTTATGAACATAGAGCGAGCGCAGCGCTGGCCTACACGCATGAGGTACATGAACTACAGCCCCATTGAAAGCCGGGCGGGAAGCGGGGCAGGACGTCCAGCAAGTGCCCCGCATCCTGTTTGTCTCGCGCCCAGACGTACCAGAAGACGGCTTGGCTTAGGGCAGGAAGTGAAATTATATTTTGTAGTGTCTGCTTGTGTGGCATAGGTGGATAAAAACAGCATAGCTAAGATAACTATCAGGAAGGATTCCGATGGCTGACGTACCGTCTACCTCATCTCAAGTACAGAAAATGCACAATGGGGTGAGCTCCTGTGTGGACAAGGCAGAGCAGACAGGTTCCACCCAGAGACAGGAGGAAGCAGACCAGCCTGGTCCTGACGCACAAAAAAGGGTGCACACACACCAGAATTAGCCGATGGAGACTTGTAACACATGCGGAGTATTCAGGCACCTTCAGTTCTGGGTAAGCAAACTGCCCTGCCGGGGATGCCAAACTTAAATTTAGCATGTGTGGTACTCCCAAGAACCTCTTCTGAAGTTTCTAATTCCATTTTGGAGTTTTGGTGGGTTTTGTTTGTTTTTATAAAACAAACAATAAAAACACTTTTCAATAGCTAGACCTTAGTACTTGTCTGGAATTCATTGCTAAGCAGCAGGTGCCCTGTGGCTCTTCTGAGAAAAAAATAAATAAATAATGAGTTGATGACAACTGGGAAATTGCTATGCACAGCAAAGAACTGCCACTGAAAAGTTAGCATTTACCCTGGAGAGAAGGTTTGTTGGTCACTGCATGATGCTGTATATTAATTTGCAGCTGGGCAGCATTACTGTAGTTCATTTTGTGACTCTTTCCCCAGCTCCTCACCGAGTAACCTTAACAGGGAGTTAGGCTGCTAGTCCTACCAGAGCCTGTTGCAGATACTTGAATTAAAGAGATAAGGGACAGATTCATGGACAGCAGCTGCACCAAGGGCTCTGAAATACCAAGCTGGTAACCCAAGGCCAGGACTCCTCTTGTTGTCAGTTCAGGTTCTCCTCCCACCTGAAGAGCCTGCAGCCCTCCGGTCTGCCTGGGGAGCCACGTGCCTCATGGCTGGCAGAGCATGAGGGCATTATCAGCCATCTGCTGGAGGTTAACAGGGTCTTTAAGATTCATCCGTAAAACAGAACCATAAACTGTGAAATGACTTTCATTTTCGGGTCCACGTCAGACTTTCAGACAGTCACTGTGTGACCGCCAGTGCTCACAACTGTGCCAGTGTGCTGAGTCAACCTACAACATCGAAACTGAAATAAATACCCAAAATATCACTTTGGTGAGGGAAGTCATTACACATTCACTCTCTTCTTTTCTAGTTACAGTAACTGCTCCTTAAATTTCCAGAGATCTTGAATAGTTTCTGCTATGTTAGTTACAGTTTTGATGTCTTTAGGATTTATGAGGCACTCAGCTTCAGACCACAAAAGGGAAATAAGTCAGAACTGGTCACAAAGCTGTCAGTTCACAGCACATTCCAACTCATCCATCTGTCATTTTTCATATATTTATCTTGTTATCTTCAAACCACAGGTCTTGGTTTGAGTGCTTAGATCAGCTACAATTCCTCTTTCAAGCCATTAGGCTTACCCCAAACACCCTCCCACATCAAGAAGGGAATGGTAACGCCAGCAGGAGTGGAACATCCTCCAAGCTGACCTGCAGCAGGTGGAAGCACCCTGCTGCTCACATGAGTGTGGTCATCCTGTATCAGCACTGTTCAGTAGAGCCACACAGGTGCTTCTGCCAACTATGCATCCTACAGACCTGGACATTGGTATATTTACCAAAAAGCCATATCAAATGGCAGCTGTAACATACTTTAAGACTGGGTGTTTAGGAGATAGGCAGCAGGACACAGCTAGCACTTCACTTCATCATTCCACCACTGAAGCAAATCCACCACTATGGCCTTCCTCCATGTGCAGAAGCAGCACCTTTCTCTACCAGAGCTGTTTGCCAGCCCCAAAGATATCGTGCAATGGGTCTGGAGAGGAGCTGCCCACCAAGCTCACATGGAAGGAGGGCCAGGCCAGGGCCTCTGCACGCTCCTGGTGTGTGATGTGAAGGTGTAGCATTGCCCTATCCCAGGGCTTCAAGTCACAGATGTGTGAGGAAAACAAGGCACCCAGGCAGGCTCCCAGGCCCCAGGCCAAGAAGCACACCGCTCACGGAGCACGGGGAAGTGCCGAAAGCCCAGCCACAGGCAGGTGAGCAGGTTGAGACCGGAATCTCTGAAGCCTGTTCTGGAGCCAAACATTTCAGTTAGCGCCTGGAGCTCCGTTTCACCATTAAAATGGCATTTTGAAAACATGCTGAGAGAAAGAGAAGGAGAAGAGGACAAGAGATACAGTGGCACTGCTGGCAGTAAGGTGGCTATGGATGCAGGGGTAGCAGGCAGAGCAGTTTGCTGTGAAGGGGCACCACATTCAGATCCCTGCTGCAGTGCCACTGCTTACACCTCGTCTATCCTGAGACCCAAGGTCTGAACTCTGCCAATGCCTGCAGCTGTCAAAGGAACTTCTGTATCCCCTCTATGCTTCTGCTGTGTCTGGCTGGAAGCCCCCAGTCCACAGGGGCCTGCGTACCAAACCACCCAGCCCAGCATTACAAGCTCCTCTCGGTCCAAGGGTTTCCTCCTGGAAAACCTGACCTCATGAGTCTGATCAGACAAGACCTTCAAACACGTGCTCTAGACACGAGCTGGTAAGAGAGGAAAGATGTTGCCATTTGACTAGACAACTGGCTCAAGTGCTCACTAAGGGTGCTGGAAATCTGGCCTCACCTGCCAGCATTCCAGTTACTTCAGCACAGTGTTTAAAGCTGTTTGGGAGGAGGTTTCCCCACTCAGGACATCACACAGCATCTTTCCCTGAGCCAGCCCATGCTACCAGGCCAAAGTGAAATATCGAGATGAGGCATGGAACAGATGTTCCAGCAAGCACTTTGACATCTGGGGGTGGTGGCATCCATTCTCACTGAGTAGTAGCAGGCAGCAAACTGTGACCTCCCACACCATGGGTAAATAGCTCTCAATGCCAAGTTTGGGGTCAGAAGGAAAACTCCTGCCTCCTTGCCAAACACCTGTTGATTTATTAGGGCAAGGGTGTTTAAGGCTCCAGAAGCAACTTGCCTTTTTGTAGAACAAATCCCATCCGGTACATCCTCATGGTGTATGCAGGAAAACAGCAGCAAGTATTTATTTACCACCCTTCATCTCAGGAAACCATGCACGAATGCAAACACAGGAAGCTGTGTTTTAAATGTCAAAGTATGCTGTAAAAGCTTCGTGTCAGCTACACTTCTCCAAACTAGCAAAATACCATCAGTTTCAATAATAACATAATGTAAGAAGAAATTTAATTACTTTTCTTTACCCTTTCTTTCTTCTTCTTCCTTTCATAAGGGACAATCTCCTGAAGTCAAGCATCGATACAGTAAAATGTTTTTCACCAGGGCATTTTGCACATCAGGAAGAACTCAATTTTATTCTGTATTGATATTTGCATATTCATTTAGGCAAATCCATTTCTCCTCATGATTAAGAATGCTATACAACTGATATTCTTCTTCCCTGTAGTGTGACACAGCATGTGACTCACAGCTTGACTTCATAAGGACGCTCATGAATGCTAAAGCACAACAACTGCATGAAAGCATACTGCGCTCCTGTATGCTCAGGCTAGAGGAAAATAGCTGTAGTGCTCCGTAACCTGGCTTTCTTCAGGGCACTGGATGCTGTCTTTGATCTGAGAAAAAGATTTGCAAGAAAATATCAGGGAAACTCTCTCCACTTGTAACTCTATGAGTCTCAGGCACACTGAGGGAGATGAGATTATCACACCTAAAATGCATCCATTTCTTATAAAGGGGGCACAAACCCTGAAGACCGATTTAGGCTTTTTGCACGTTTGATTTAAAAGCATTGAATTCACTTCAGAAACTAAAGCAAAGCTATACTCAGTGAGTTGCTCGAGAAATTCACAACCATCCCTGTGGGTTTTTTCCCCATGGGTAGCCAGAACTGAGCCCTATGTTTCATCAAACATTTAGAGAGGCATCACATGCCCAGCCTCTGTCCTCCTGCATTTGAAACTTTCTTCCACCTAACCTAGACTTTTCAAACTTGCTATAATTGAAAAGTAAGCCCCTGGCAAATATAAAATTTTAATATTATGTCACCTGAGATGTCCAGTGAAGAAAGCTTTTTATTTTTTTTTTTAAGAAAGTGAACCTGAAAAAATATAACCACTGAAGCAACCACTGGAGTAACTGAAAGCCTTAGCAAAAAAAGGATTTAAGTGTTGAACACAGGCTTAGACCTCAAGAACTGCTTTCATCTGTGACAGCAAGCAATGCATTCGTCACTTGTATCTATGCGCTTTCCCTGAATGTTAGCTGTCCATGTTTCTCCACTTTGTAAGAAGTTTTATTTCTTATTCAGATCAACGTTTCTAATTCTACAATGATTCATAACACAAGGTAATGTCATTATATTACAAGACAGTTTAATTTGCAAGTTCATTTCTTGCCAAGAACAGGGCAGCAGAGTTCCTAATTCTAAATAAAACCTATTTTATGCCAAATATCCTTGCCAAAGCCCTCTAATGAGCTGGCACAAAATGGTTTCACAGGAACATCCTACAGTCAGCAGTGCTTTCCAGGCATTTGTGGTACCTTATGACAACTCTATTTTTTTTATTATCTTTTTATTTATTTATTTATTTATGTGGTTGTCATTTTGTTCTACTCTTTTCCAAGAAGTAAGCAGGAGAATTTCCTCTCTCAACCACCACACACATTAAAAAAAAATGAAGAAAAAAAGAATCAGGTCACTTCAGTGCTTCAGCTCTGTCATGTCTGGAAATATTAAACATTACTATTAAATATTTATAGCAAAGCAGTTCGGTCGCTGATAGAGAAAGCGGTCAGTGTTAGAGTCTGAATCACAAATGTCAGCAGCAGACCTCTCATTCATACACAGAAAATAGTAAAACAGTGTGGGATTCAATTGCTTCATGCTCACAGGAATCACAGCAGACTTCGTTCAGCCCTAACTTGTCCACGTGAGGATCTGAGGATATGTGAAGGCCTCTCACGAAGAATAAGTATGTTCCTCTTTGGAGGAACCAAAAAATTAGTTTTAAGTACTCCCTTTACTGTACTAATTTCTTCATCATGGCCAAATTACGAATTAGCCTCATACAAATTCCCATTAGAAGAAGCTTTCCTTAAGCAACTAATAAGCTAAGGAAGATATTCTTATTGTCCAGCACACACAACACTTTCCTTCAGTATTAAACCTTACTGACTGAGGGCTTTAACATTATGGTAGGATTATTTAAAATACTCCATACTAGTTACATTATATAATATGCTTCATACTATATCACCATCCACAAGCACTGATAGCCAAGTACAACAAAATATTGAAAAACAAAGGGAAAAAAGAGAAGGTAATGCTTACCTACTTATTTTAGAGCTTATTGTAGAGCTTATGAAGGTCCAGTTAACAGTGTACCCTGGGATGAAGTGAGTGCACAGAATGGCTGTGGGGTATAAGACTACCAACACCTCTCCATGACCTCCCTCCTCTTGAGCTTGCCAGTTGTTTCTAGGTCATTATTAGTGTGTGTGTCAGGCACAGTGATCCACTCCACAGCACTGCTAATACCCACATGGTCTTGTATTTGCTGCTCCTTACAGCCCCCACTTTGCTAGTGAAGCAGCTTTGCCAACAGTTCCAGCAGATGACAGACAAGGAGCCATGGGCCAGCATCCTCTAGTGAATTTTCCTGTACACCCTTGCTGCCCCTTAAAGGTGTTTCATGGCTCAAGAAGGGAGAAACAGGTTCATCAGATTCAGGATAACCTACCCTGTTTGAAGAACTTTGCTCTGAGTAGATCACATCCATAGAGACAAGCTGCTTGCAAAGCAGCACCCCAATACCAGATCCCTAATACCAGCCTGCAGAAGCCAGTCACCAGCACCACCCAAAAACTGCTGCCTCCACTGGGTAGCTCTAAGCTGCGTTTTGTGCTTGTGCTCCACTGATGTAAAGCCAACACAGCTGGTGCAGGTAGGAGGTGACCAGTTTTTAATAGGGTAGGAGTGATTAAAGAACCTTTCTCATTGTTATTGCACTATGTGCCTTTCTTTGTTGATAGATTTGGTACTCCAAAGTGGGGTTTATCACAGTGATCCATTTGTCACCAATGTGTTGTGCTGGAAGGTATCCATTTCTTCATGAAGCTACTGTACTCGGTAGAGCTCATGGTCCCTCCCCCTGGAGCCCCACCTTGCCTCCCCCAGCTCCCCTGATCAACAGAGCCCTCTCCTGAATGACTGCTGAATTACTGACTGACAAGCTGCAAGGAAACAATGAAGTATGAATTTGGAAATCTGAAAGGCAACTTGCCAGACTAGAGATTTCTGTTTAAAAGTCTTTGAGGGGTAAGATTTTCTACTTCAAGACAAGGAAGTAGAAATTCTGAGCAGCTAGGAAGATACGGGAAGAGCATTATGTGGCCTCTGACAAGGGCTGTCAAAGCAGCACTCCTGCTATGACAGGAGGGGGCTATTTTTTTGTTATTAATAATTTAAAATAAATTCCACTTAAGCTGTGGCTATGCTGTCTTTACGCTTTGTGGAATTTTGAATGGCTGGCTTATGAATGGCTGGTGAGAATTTTAAGACCTATCTTGCAAATCTGTCATGAAACATTGCTTATCTTTCTTTAATGAAATATAACACAAATGAAGCAGGATGACTGTTCTCTTAAATTTCGGAAGGAAGTTTTCACTCCTGTAATTTATTAAACTCATGGCTGTTATTTCTTTTTAATGCTTTGTTTAATATTGTATGAGCATTGCTATTAAATGTCATGAATGTTGCTATGAAACTTAATTAATATTGTAAAATATGGGGCCTGAACAGTTAATGAAATGCAACATACAATTTCATGAAAACTGAGCGTATGTTCTCTTGGAGTCTTTTCAACATACAGTGTAATTCACTAAGATCTTAATTATTTTCTTTATACACTGGCACCTATATTTCATGGAAACATCAGGGAGCCTTTAAACGCTTTAGATAGTTCATAGAAAAACTGAATATGAAATGAATATGAGAACAGAACTCCTTTGGCTGAAGGTTGCTTGTTAGTAGAACTTTTTTCAGTTATGCAGATGTGATGCAAATCACTTGTTCTTGTCAAAAATGTAAGTAGAAATTATTTTGCTGTAATGAAGTGCACTAAAAAGGGAAGTTTGTAAACTTAAAAACAGTAAGTCATCAAATTTTGATGTTTATAGAAATTATTGCATGGATTTGTCAAAGTCCAAGAGATCACAAGTTTCCAGTTTTACATTTTGCTGCCCTCTTTGTTTCAGGTATCTTGAGGACCAAGATCTTGTGGGGGAGAAAGCCTTCATCTACAGGAGGAATCCTCACTTATCCCTGTTTTCCAAAGTCTTGCTGATAGTGTGGTTATCTTTGGTTATAACATGGCTAACTCCTCGTCTTTCCCTTTCCAATCCTGAGATCCTATTCAGTCCCAAAAATCCTTGCTATCAGGCATATTGAACTACTAGGTATTGTTCAAGCATGTTATCCTCTGATTTTTCTTTTCTCATTCAGATTTGCAAGGAAGAAGGAATTAGTCCTTGATAACACTAATGGATCAAGCTCGATTACTATGAAAGGCAGTAAGACAAAGATGAACTTCTTGTTTTGGTGTCTTAAAGGATATACTTCCCCACCCCCTTCAGTTAAGAGATGTTTGCCTCTTCCCTAGACTGCAGGCAATAAATGGTTCCCCTCCTTGTTCTCCCCACATCTGACACCCTGTGGTCAGAATTACTCGCTGTATACTCCTGCAATGCATGGCCACCGGGCAGGTGGGCAATTTTTATTTTTTTTTGCTGTGGACTTCTGACCAAGAAGAGCTATCAGCAGCAATCATCCCCATCTAGTGGGGAAGGAAGAAGAGTTTTCAGAGGATGTTGGCCAGGAAATACTTGGGAAAGTCATGGAAGAAAGTTCATGCTAAGAATACCTTCAGGAAGTAAACTGTACTAATTGTGCAGTGGTTTCCATTGGCAGACTGTATCTAGTATTAAAAAGTACAAATGATTTAAGGTAAGTGGGAACTCAGCATGACATAGGCAGATTGATCCCTCACAAAATGCTGTTGGCATGCAGAGATGTAGTTTCATGTGCTGGAGCAGATGAGAAGGGAGGGCTGTCTGGCAGTGTTACAGTTGTACCTTTAGCCTATCCTGAAGATAGGTACAAAGTTCATTTGACGGTTGCAATAATCCTTGTAGAGCTAGGCAATTAAATGCTTTATCACCATGGCATAATTCTGTGAGTCATCTGCCATAAGTATCATCTCAACAACTGAGGGATAAAACTGAATCAACCTACTTTAACTGTTGCGTTGCTTCTAGACTGCTCCAGAAATTCATTTATTTTAAGGTTTTATTACTCAAATCTAAGGTGTGTGCACACTAAAAACACCACCAAGATAGACAAGTTGGTTGTTGATGCCAGAATTCTCTTGAACTTCTCTCTTGCCAGCTTTGTGAACCAGAAGCTGTCCTCAGCTTTGTTGGCAGCTAGGAGAGGTTTCTGCTGGGTGCTCTCTGACAAAATTCCATCCAGCTTGTCAGACCAGGAATACAATAAAAATATTGCTGAGCTCTGGGTTTTGGACAGTTTCCTAAGGAGATGACACATATAATAACCCCTTCTGTGCCTGCATATGTTCCCAGTAACACAGTGGCCAATATAAATCTAATTTTGTATCAAGGCAGAGATGCTAAAGATATTTGGTTCCTACAGGTTTTATGGAAGTAAGCAGAGGAGATGGAAAGAGACCTCCCATATGTGTGCATCCCTGATCAATGAAGGGTACTCCTCACCGTACACAGGAGCAAATGCATCATGAATGCCCATATAGCTGGAGTGTGAATTCCAGCTAGTGTCATTAAAAAACAGAGATTTCAAATAGGAAATTCAAATCCACAGGTAACTCATTTCCTTTTTGAACTCATGAAACATCTCAGTTTTAATTTCTTTGGGTTTTCTATAATTTGCCTTTAGCTCATTGTGTTAATAAAACATTGCTGGCTAGCCAGATGCATCTTGTTTCAGTTAACCCTTCAAGGAATACTTCTAGAGCCCATCCTGAACCTTTCCTTCCCCTTCTTTGGCTGACAGAGTCCTAGAGTACCACAGCCATATTCTGGTGATGATGATTTCAGGAATGTGCAAGTAATGCCCGTAATTTTCTTCACAGCTGGATAACACCTGATGGCAAAAGGACTGCTTGTTCCTGGTGTGAAGCAAAACTGAAGGACTGCCATACTTTAAAGGTGTATTTTTGTCTGTACTGCATCAATAAGCAGTGAACTTAGAGCACCTTCAAAAGAGAGTGAGGAACAAACACTGTCTTGGCAGTCAGTGCACTCTAATTATTGCATTGTTATTGCAGCTGCTTTCATGAGCAGCAGCTAAGCTAAATGCAAAATAAACACCCCTGTGAAGATGCACCTTCAGTTTTGGAGTTGTCATCTCATTGAAGTTGCTGCAGTGCCACAGGAAAATAGCTATTTTAAAATGATGAATGGATCTTCTGAGCATTTATTTGCTATACCCTGTTCTTGAACTGTTTTGTAAAGTAGTCTTCAAGACACTTTTGTGAGGCCGTTAATGGTATCCAGTGAAATGGCTCAGCCAAAACAAAATGGATACCCTCAAATATGAAATTACAGGGAATTTTCCCAGAATGGCTAATGTAGCATGACAGCTCAAACTTTGGTGAGCACAGAACAAGCTCTGAATCTCAGTGGCAGGTCCAAGCCTCCAGCCCCCAGCTGGCTGCCTGCTTTTGTGCCGAGCACCTGCAGAGGAAGCAGGAAGCTGGGGCCTGCCAGCATTATTACTTACCGGCAAAACAAAAAGTGCCTGGCAAAAGTTGAAGGTTGCTTTGCGGTGTCTAATGCCCTCCTCAGCTAGCTCGAGATGGGGTCTTGGACAAGGTGACTGAGGAAGTTGGAGGCTGAGCAGCTCTCTTGGCCCCTAGCACAGAGGTCTAATCTCAGATGTTGCGGAAGGACAGGAATTGCAGGATCCTGGTACACAGTCAGAGGTAACAGCCCTCTCTCCCCTATAAACTCAGTTTCTCCGACTTCTCCACTTCCCTCCTCACCCAGAACATCCTCCTTAGTATTGCCCCAAATCTTTGACTTTTCCCACAATTTCCTTATTTCTTCTTTGCAACCCCAAGGTTTCCCTCCCCAGTATTTTGTCTTGTAGGCCTCTGCTCCTGAAAAATACTCACACTTCATTTCCTTTCTGAAATAGGTGAATTGTAACCTGTAAAGCAGTTAATTTCATATTTCATTTGGGGGCAGGGCAGGAAGAAAAAGAAAGAAAAAGAAAGAAAAAAAAAGAAAGAAAGAAAAACACCACAGAAATACAGAAATAAGTTTCCCCCATCAGACATTTCTGAATTCCACAGTGATTTCTGTCAACAATAGACATGAACTTTACATAGACTGGATGGTGTTGCAGTTCTGCAACATTTTATTGTCCTAGAAGATCCCCTCCAGTTTCCCTAAGGAGAGAATTTACCTCTCCATGCAAAGCCCTAAAAGGTGCAGCAGGTGCTCAGCCAAGCCTAGCATAACTGCTCAGTAACTAAGGACATTTGAGGAATAAGTAGATTCAAGATTTGCAGGTCACATCTTCACAAAAGACAGTGGAACTTGCTAGCACTTGAAAAGTGCTGTTTTATGAAATGGAAAATAAATTTCAAGACCGTTGCCTGAATTTGGGGTCACGAGTGCTATTCCACTTCACCACAGGACATGCCAGATCTCAAGGTAAACTTAAGTACATGTATATAATGTAGACTTCCCAAATGAGTCAACCTGTACAGGGCAACAGCAAAGTCACCACTGTAGTATCTTTCCCATATGAAACTGAAGGCTGTAATTCGTTCAGTGCACAGAGATTAGCTAGGAATTCCTGTTGCAATGCCTTCACATACTGTTTATTTGTCCTCTCTCTTGGAAAATTCAACCC